TTTTTAATATTATACAACTCCAATCCTTTATAAATTTTACTTTTTTAATAAATATTCATTTAGATTTGTAAAAATCAGGCGTGTGAGTATCCTGTGTAATTATATTTGCACAGTGCAAAACGATTTGAAATTTCACAGCATATAAACATATAATATCGGATTTGCGAATAACACGCGAGCTTAATCTCTACAATAATAATGAGATCGTATTGTTTCCGCTGTTTTCAGCTGTGCGCAGTACTTGGAGACACGCGCCTGCATACTAGCGTTTGCGCATCGTTCTCCGCTTACCTGTTAACACGGCAGTCACCTTGTAGCGTGGAGCAGTACGCCATGCCGTGGCCGAGGCGTGCAGCGGGCACGCTGGAGAGTGCATATTAGACAGTGCGAAGCGCTCAGACTTGAGCATTCGCCGGCGAGCGGTCGGTGACTACGGTGCAGAGGTGTTTTTATACGATCGCGCGGCGTCCGCTCGTTTTCATACGCGTACTCACTCGTCAGTGAATTTCGCTTCCGCTTGTTCTTCTCGTGTCACCGTATTAAACAGTATCGAACTGTAACGTAACTACGTAACGGTCGGTTGACTCGAGAGATTCCGCAGTGTGTCAATTTATTGCCACAAGTGGCATACCAGGTATTTATTCATGCGAATTTTCCAACGTTTCTGCGTCTGATCGCGTCGGGCAACATTAGTCTCTTGTGCTAACACGGGTAGCATCTGTTCACTGTCTGGTATTTGCATATCATGGTCGACCTTCTGGAGGCCACTGCTGTACAGAATTCAATCGGATTTTAATTGCGATCGAACGCTTCCTCAGAACCTGCGGTGAATATTCGTTTGTGCCAACTTACATAATGAATTCAACCCCTTCTCGCTTGGTACGTCTCCAACGTGTCGAATCGTGCGCATCTGTCATCGGGCAGATACTGCGTACTCGCGATAAAATATTTACCGTGTAAATGAGCTCGATCGGTGTACACGTTATTTGTAAAAGAAACATTGTAGAGTGAGGGCGCGTGATTCACCGGTCGTTAATAAACAAACACCGAAATAAACTCGCGCGCGAAGCGCACACCGACGTTCGATTATCATTTCGTGAACACGGGCTCGACGAGACTAACAATAAATTTTTGTTTCGCATTTCCGGACAATAACATACGTACACATGTCTTGTTACATGTCTTATCTAATCTTTGGGTTTTAAACTCGCAAAAAACGAGAAACATAAATTGATACATCGAAGTGGGCTCGGGTAGAAGCTCGTAAGTACCTAAAAAAAATTCTACGGTGGTATATATTAAGTACGTCAGTCTTCCTTCCATCCGAAAATACGCGGATGTCTGTGCGTGAGGTTCCCATGCGCATCAGGTTGCGCGTATAGCACGTAATTCGAACACGGCTGCTGCCGGTGTTCAAGCGCGAAAAGTTGATTTTTCAGCAGTTTCGTACGACGCGAAAAATTAGGCATCGGAAAAATGAGCGAATTCGAGCGGCGCGGCACAGGAATTGCGACGGAGCACGTGGGCGGTGCTCCCAGTCTAGTTCTCTGTGCCTCTCGCTTCCAGTATTCGTCTGCCCGTCCGAGGGAGCGTTTACGAACGCACGCGCGCTCAAGCGCCTTCTGGCCTTTTTTTCGTAATCCGAACGCGGCCGACGTTGGCGGCGCCAAGCGAGAAGAGAAGATGAGGAGAGGGAGGCCATCGACCCGTTATAAATGGAACTAGCAAGACAGCATTTCTTGAATCGTTTCTTGTGTTATTATTCGCAGCGTGTCGGCGCACCAGTCCGCATGTTCGCTCGCGGTGCGACCGGAACTCCGTCGTCCAGCGACGTGGTCCAGAAGATGCAGTCGAATCCCGGCGATTGTGGAAAGTGAACTTGTCGAAAGGAGAGGAGAGAAATCGGAGAATAGAGAGTGGGATTTTTGACGGCGATCGTCGTCAATGTGGAACTCTTGAGAAATATCGGTAGCGCGCTTCTGGTGACAAGAAGAAAATTTCGAGCGTCACTCGCTCCGCAGACAGTGTACGAAATCGTGGAAATTTGGGAACGTGACAAGTGAACGAAGCTCGAGGGCTCCGTCGTTTAGTCGATTAACGCGCGCCAATTCCCCGATTTCGCGGTTACACGCTCGTTTAAATTGGCTGTCACAAATTCGAGAGGCTCGGCGCCGACTTGCCCGCGGATAGGATTGCAACGAGAGGAGCCAGTGAATCCACATACGAGAGCGACATTTCGAAAGATCGATGTGTCGTCGGGTCTAAAAAGGTGGCTCTTACTCAACACGACGTCTATCGCGCCGTTCGGAAGCGTGCTTGGAATGAGCGCCGCGTTTTCAAGCCGCTATGCGAAGTTGCCCCTACAGTTTGAACGTGATTAGTGGATGCGCAACAGGCGACCGAGTGTCACTCGGTGGCGCGGAGTTGCGATGTGAGTAAATAGAAACTTCGCGGACGGACGAAACTTCAGAAGCACAGTAAACAATTCTGAATCATCGTCGGAAAATATCTGACTGTATCATTGTGCGTTTACTCAGTTTCATGCGTTCTCTCATGAAGTATTAAAAAATATTTCATAACATTGTCGTTGTGTAAAGACGAGTACTATATATTTCGCGTTGATTCGTTCAGTGACACGTGTGCTTTTGTAAATATTTGTCGGACTGAAGAATACGTGCAACATGATTAAATAAGAAACGACTGGAACTTGCGAGAGCCAAGAGAAAAACGCATTAATTGGACAGTATATGATGCGCAAACGCGGCTCGGATGGCACCTAACATCCACGTCTGATGACAAACGTGAACAGGATCAGGGTGGTCGTCCTCGGCGGCCCCAGAGTCGGGAAATCAGGTAATTAAAACTTTCTTTCTTCAATTCTTGTCCTTTATAACTATCGTTTGTCATAGAGAAAATTATAGTCTAAGCGTACGACTTGAAACATGATTAATTTGATCAGTTCTTTTACACACGTATACATGTGTCTTGTAAAATCAGTAACAGAAGAGTAGCTTAAAACCGCGACGCAGCAACTGTTCAATTAAGGATGTATTGGCTAGAAAGTCAATCCCAAAAGTTTATGCACTTTAGAAACGCANCCAAATAATCATACGTAACTCGTTAAATATCGAAGTTAGAAGAAAAACAACTTTTATTTGAAGCACTTCTCGCAATTTTGAAAAAAAAATTATAGGAAATGCGTTTTTCTAAGTTACATAAACTTTTGGGATTGACTGTATAGCCAATACATCCTTAAAACATGACTGTTCTCTTTATCTATTTATTCATGAATCTTGATACGTATAAATTGCAATATTAATATAGAGTAAGCGAGAAAATATAAATGTAGATATACCTAGGGTAAGAACGACGTGACTTACGTATGCCGAAACTATTTTTAGATGAAAAATAAATTCCCCCGGAGTCAAAATTCTTCTCCATCCAGTTGCGTCTTTCTTTTAATGCGCACTAAAAATTTCTGTTTTCCTTCTAAATATTATTCTTGCTTTCATCTGAGCTCGCATTATTATATAATTTACATGTAAACATGTTGAAGAAAAATTTTTAAACCAGAGGTGAACGAATCAATAAGCTGGGGAAAGTATCGAGTTTATACAAATATCGATATAAATTCCTAACAAATAGGTATCTGTATTTGTGAAGGGTAATGATTTTAATCATCAATAGCTATCTCGAGTATCGTTACGATCTTTACTATAATACTCGTAACAATCGAATTCTTGATTTAATCACTATGCGATCCAGCTGCGAGCAACAAAACGAGAGTCATTGTGTTATGATTATGGGAAAATACGTCTGGAGGTATGGATATAAGCGTATTGGAGAGGTATTAATTATAGTGGACAGTACTACATAATATTGTGTCGTATAAAGCGTATAATTTCTGCACGTCTATCTAATACCGCGGCGACGGATTGAATGAAAGTGCCGTTAAGATGAATACGTATAGTCTTCGGTATAATACGGTGCATTAGTTAGCCGGACAGTCGTGGGACGCGTACAAAGCGACCAAATGAAGGCAATAACGATAGTTCAGCGACCCCTGTATTAATCTTATTAATAAGCGACGGTATCGATATTGGGATCGAATCATCTATAATTCGAATATGGTTGAATTCAATAATCGATGTACTCGCGTTTAATCCGAACGAGAGGAAATTGCACGATAAGGTATGTAGAACTCGTAGGGAACAAAGTAATGTTTCTCGATTACATGACCGACATCAGGTTTTTCATTAATCAGGTCACAAATTAATTGTATATCATTAGACGTGATTATAGTATCGATCGGCTTCAGTCTTTTACAGGGAGACTTGTTAAATGGGGAAAAGAGTCTATCGTGTAATTTGCAAAAACCGATGAACTTGGAATTGGCTGTAAAAGTAAATTGTGTAGTTAAGTCATAGATTGGGGTTTTCGAAATTGGTTCGATAAAAGAAAATGGAAATAATTCCCGATGCGTAATATCGACCTAATCTTCACATGTAGATCCGTTCTTGGTGGCGATTGTTAAAATTAGACTCACGGCATGCCTCGATCCGAAAATTGCGTTCTCTGCGCGTTACACGCAGTTTCTGTGTTACTCTTCGGCGTACGGTTATCGCGGTCGTGCAAGCGCTTGATCGGAAAGCGGATATTCCCGGGTCCCGTAGAATCCTTAAAAGTCGTGAGAAGGAGAGGCTGTGTCCTGCTGGGTATAATAAGGACCTCCGCGGACGTTATCGGATATCAAGTGAGGAGACTGGTCAACGGGTCGTTGCGAGCCACGAAAAATTCTGCACGGCAGCAGGTTGAGAGAGATCTAGACATCCGATACATCCGTTCTGTTACCGAGCTACGCTCTATACCCGCCTCGTTCGATCCTGGATGCTGAGCTTACGCACTGAACGGGATTTTTCTACGTTTATCGGTTAGACGTTTCCATATTTCCAATACGGGAAAAATGGACTTTGTACCGGCCAAAGGGAATTTCATTTTTAGCGAAAGATACGTAATATCAGATTGAGGATACATTTCGAACTCTGTTCCCGTAAGAACATGTCTCTCAGTTATTTATAGGAACGATAAATTTTGACAGTGGCCACGCAACAGGGGCAACAAGAGTTTCGCGGTAACGCACCAGCGGCGAAACGATTTTGTAGAATACATTAATAGAGAAGCCTCGTGCAAGCCGCGAGAACGTCAATGATTATGGTTAGGGGCCATTTATCTGCGTTAACGCCTATTGAAATGGCAATTGGAAGTCGGTGCACATTTCCATGTCGCGCGAAGTATACATAAATTCATTTGGGCCAAATAGCTCACTTTATTACCAGCTCGTTAAAAAGTATAACCCAAGAGAAAGAAAAAGTTGCTCTGCCTTTCTGCTGGTTTATGTTGTCGTAATCGTTATTTCATTCCGTTTATCTTACTCCGTGCTGTATTTCATCTCGTTTAAGCACATTATCTTTCCATGCTGTTTTAATCTTTTATCCGAACGTTTAATGACCTTTTGTAATATAGAATTTTGTCCTACTTTTTCGTCATGAGATTATCAATGTTTTATATTATTTTACAATTTCTACATCAATTAAGCAATTCCAAATAGCTACAATTTAACATTTGCTATTCTTTAAGACTAAATGAATTCGTGCAATTAAAAAGTTTACCAAGTCAGTTTCGTCTTAAAATTCCTGTTGCGCGGACTTGCTTTAAGAAAGAGAGAGAGAGAGAGAGAGAGAGCTCGTAAATATTCGACCGGTTGTTTCAATATTTTACAACGGATGTACGTGTAGTCCAGCAGCCGTTGAATTTTTGTTCGCCGCACGAAAGAGAAACGAATTCGGGCACACGCACACGTGCATCTATTTCAGGAAACGTACTCTCCCGCGAGTGCGCGCATAATTGAGCATATAAAGAGTGAATCAGCGATTCGTGACGATTTATTATCGTAGATGAATTCACGGCTCGGAACCTTTTCTCGTTCGTCTCGTGCATCTTGATTCATATGACTGGGTCGAACCCTGAAGTTACAAATATGAATAACCAAACAGGATGATGGACTGGCCGAATAAAACGGAGTCCAGTCGTGCTGCATACGCGGGGCTTTGTACCGTTGAAAAAAATCAGTTCGCGAATCGCGATAATCAGTTATATTTGTAAAATAATTCAGGCTTCATACGTCGGCTATTTAGAATCTATAAAAGTTGCATTCTGTTAAACACGTGTAGATTTTGTAAAACAATATTTGATCAATTTCCGTAAACATGCGATTCTGATAAATCAGATTATGCGCTGTTTACGGAAGAGTCTAAACAGATTTTAACATTGCCAAAACATTTTCAAGTCTTCTACGTAGGGATTGAAACAGTAGCTCAATGATAGTTGTAATTTACTTCATTTTGCTTGACATTCTTCCAACTTATGCAAATACTAGAAGCATTTGGTTGTCTACCGGTTTATGAATTTACGTTAATGAAGACCGGTCCGACCGAGGCAAGAAAATAGTAATTATCGACACGCTCGCAAATAAAAGAGGGCAGGATAAAAAAAGAACGACTCGAATGATGGTAAACGCAGCGAAGCGCATCCTTCGCTCCTGTCTCAAGTGAACTGGCCGCGTTTTGCGGTGGAATTCTCGTCGCTATGTTTATTTTAATTTTAATCGGCCTCCGATTTAAGCAAAAATACCGGTGCCCCACGATAATAGGTCCATAGGAGAGCAAGAGTTAGAACAATTTGAGTTCGACCGGAAGCGAGAGAAATGTCATCTCTTGCGTGCTCGTTCCACCCGAGTAGATTAAACTCCTGTGGCAACTCCGCTTGCTTGGTATCCCGTGAATTTGTTTAATGATATGCATTATCGTGTATCGTCGAGCGCATAACGCCGTATTTACGAGGACGTCCGCGATGCAGTCTCGATAAAGCTCCGTTGACGCGTTCAATTCAGCCAGCTGTATACGTGGCTCGGTTACCCCGGGTACGGGCCATATCCACGGGGCCCTCGCGTATAACTTCCTCTCACAACAATGCGAGAAGAGAGGAGAGCCACGCGCGTTGCACTCTCGCGTGTACACGCCGAGAGGATTCTGGGATGCTCGGCCGCCATAAATTTTGCCGTCGCGCGGTGAACTTCTACGTATTTGATAATACCGCGTGTGTCTCGGATTTCCCTCGGCTGTGAACTTTCGTCCGTTAGAGAGTTTAACGCGTATTTTCGTTCGACACAAAGGTACAAATTGCGAACCGCTTCGAAATGTCAGGCCCCGGCCACCGTGCGGTTCCGTGCGCACGTTCTGTGCCACTTCGCCATGGCGAAACGTCGCGTCGCGTCGGGTTTTATGGCGTGAGCTTTCAGTAGCCGGCTCAACCCCGTATATCACTCGAGAATTACGGTCTGATCGCACTTTTCCTGTATAATTCTTTATATCGCGTCGAGTGAACCGTTGCGAAATATTCAATTATCGAAATCAGAAGACGAGCATAGAGCCGGGTGTCTGTCAATAGTGCAACGTTATACGCGGCATTAACGATGGTTGCATTCTACTTAACTGTCCGCGACTAATGCACGTAATAGCATTCGTTACCGTTAATGTAAGGTTACTTAATAACCCATTCACGTATTTCGCGTGGAAAGTGCTTATTTTTAGACGGGAAGAAAGTTGCCTGCCTCCTGCCGTCGAGGTGAAGGTATACAAGGGGTGGAGGTGAAGGGAGGAAGTTCGTTTCATGTTTAACGCCGGTATGAGCTATCTCGGCGCGGAGCGAAACTGGAAAAATCGCGTGAAATACGTAATAACGATAATTAATGATCCAACGATGTACAGGAAATGTCATTAAAAGGTATGCACCTCGTACCTGTGTCTCCTCTCGTTATGAATGCGTTCCGTGCGAGCGGTGTGTGTGCGGGCCCGGGGACACCGCGCTTCATAAATTTCTTCGTTACTTCGTGAAACGTACGAAAGAGAGAACTTTAACATGTCGCCGTCGTGCCTATCCTCTCTCGGTTCGACCCTCGAAGACTTATTGAGTACATAGATCCGTGCCGGTCCCGTGCTCGTCGAGTTCTCGTATGGTACACCGTTTATAAATCAGCGGACCCCGGAGGAGGGAGAGAGAAACCCTGGCCGAGCAATCTAATACACCCTGTGAGCAGCGTGTTTCCGTTGATTCGCAAAATCAAACCAACTGGCTCGCTCGGTGAACTTCGCCGGGTAACTGGTACCGCGATGTTGATGAGACTCGTATAATAATAAGTAAACGAGTACATAGAAGGCGGTTCGAATAGGTCAGACAGATTTCATAGAAAGCAATGGAAACAGAATTTGTGACGCAACAAGTAATTAGGTAGTTGTACTTAGGATTAAATACTGCATGACATTTTGCATATTAGTCTAGAGGAAACATTTTAGAAAGTTATATCCCGTAGTTGGTTTAGAATAGAAACGTTTTTATCAAGTGAATTCACTTACGTATTTACGTAATCAGTAATTAGCAGATAATGAGCTGTTAACTAAGAAATCGAGAATTAAATGACTGGTTATTCGATTTATCAGATAGATCAAGAAAACGTGATATAATTAGACATTTGTACAAGATCTTATCTAATTCTGCGATTAATTTCCATGTAAAATTATTTGCAATATTCGATAACGAGATATTCAGAATTAACGATGTACCCTTGAATTCCATAAAGTCTAATGCAAGCTGAAATCTCGTCGGACTATTGCATTCGTCTGCCACTGCCGAATTCCACATCAGAAGCGATTTGCACGCGAGCCAGAGAAAAATAACGATCGCTGATAACTACTAGGCCTCTCATTATTTTCGAAATCCTGTATGGAGCTGAGAAAAAGAACTCATCAAAAATAGTTCGCTGCGGGGGTCTCTTTGAAATTTTTCTACGAAACCTGCTGAAATTGGCCAAGAGCAACCCACATTTCGTATCCGTTTCTTTGATCGCAGCATCGCGGGCTTATTTTTCAAGGTGCTAGGTCGTTATAGCGTGTAATTACGGATCGATAGGACGGCGGCGCGCGATCCTCGGTTCGCGCGAAATTGCAGGGTTCAAACGGAAAGGAACACGAGGAACGGGACCGGTGCATTTCTCTCTCTCTCGCGTCTGTTAGCTGTCGACAGGAGGTGTGGTGGTTAGCTAAGAGAATACTTTTATCGCGGCTAATGACGAACGATCCTCGCTCCGAGTCGGTCGTTTTTCAGGCGATTCACGCCCCCGCACGCTCCCCCGTGGAATCGACGAAAATTCAATTAAGCCACCAAGCGAGAACAAGAATATCGATCCCGCCGCCTGTCTTTCTAATTAATTCACTCAACCCCCGTACGAATGTCGAGGGAGTCTCGTGGCGAGCAAATTATTTACTCCTTCTATCGGAGCCGGGCGCGGGCCCGGGGTAAATGCTCTACGCGATGAAGATAATGGAATTGTAAATTGAAAGCGAGGCCCAGCGAACATCTAATAGCCTATTCATAATTCGTAAAGATTTATCATGAATTGTACGTCGGTTCTTAAAACGTATATACAATTCGTGCAATTTCCTATTAGCGTGGTATTTAATGAATAATATACGTTGAAGAATAAGTTACTTTCTAACGGTTGATAATGAGATACGTACTCCTCGACATCATTTATTGACGTCAGTCAATCTGTCCAGGCAGGAAAAGTGTAGCTAATTATTAGCATACGTCTATGAGCTTTGGAATTATGCACTTGAGAACACGTTGATTAACATCAAATTTTCTAACTTTTGTCTATAATATTGTGCGGAAGTTCATGAGCTGTTTCTGCAATCTATAACTTTGTCATTTCTTTTTTTCGTTGAGAACGTTTTGCATCTTCAACATCTCGCATTTTTTGTTCCAGCCGTAGTGGTGAGGTATTTGACGAGGCGATACATCGGCGAGTACAGTTCAACCAGTGGTAAGTCGCACTTTTTCCCTGTTATTTCTTTCACGTAACCAATCGTTCGCTGTTCGAAAATCGATGCACCACTAATTTTTCTCCCCTTGTTACTTATTCAACTCGAGTATAGTCTCTACTATACCGCGGCAGAAGCGTATAAAGATTTAACAGCTAGCTTGTGCAGCTTTTTGCTCTGTCTCCGATCGGCTGATCACTTTATTACCAGTACTACTTTGTGCTTCTGCTTGCTCTCGTCGTCCGAACGAAGCTTCGCTTTTTGCCATCGTAATGCGAGGCTACCGTTTACTAACGTGCAGAACGCACTCATTTTTATTCGAAGAGAAATTATTGGACGTTTAAATTTTTCTCGTCGTTAAAATTTAAAGAGCTCACCGTTTAAAAGCATGAACGTTGCATATTGAATTTTTTTTGCTTACGATTAATCGATTTTCTTAAAAAAATAATTAATTAGCATGGAGTATCATAATCTTTTTTATCCTCTTATCTCTTGGTAGTCTGTATGTTTTATATGTCGAGAGATTGATTTTCCTAATTAATCGATAGTGTATTCGATGAATATTGATTTCTAAGAAGTTCCTGCATCATTTCGTCAATTCGTAGTCGCTAAGCGGATGTTAGGTAATTTTGATCCGTTTATTTTAAAGCTTGTATAAGTTTATTTCTTTCACGTAACCAATCGTTCGCTGTTCGAAAATCGATGCACCACTAATTTTTCTCCCCTTGTTACTTATTCAACTCGAGTATAGTCTCTACTATACCGCGGCAGAAGCGTATAAAGATTTAACAGCTAGCTTGTGCAGCTTTTTGCTCTGTCTCCGATCGGCTGATCACTTTATTACCAGTACTACTTTGTGCTTCTGCTTGCTCTCGTCGTCCGAACGAAGCTTCGCTTTTTGCCATCGTAATGCGAGGCTACCGTTTACTAACGTGCAGAACGCACTCATTTTTATTCGAAGAGAAATTATTGGACGTTTAAATTTTTCTCGTCGTTAAAATTTAAAGAGCTCACCGTTTAAAAGCATGAACGTTGCATATTGAATTTTTTTTGCTTACGATTAATCGATTTTCTTAAAAAAATAATTAATTAGCATGGAGTATCATAATCTTTTTTATCCTCTTATCTCTTGGTAGTCTGTATGTTTTATATGTCGAGAGATTGATTTTCCTAATTAATCGATAGTGTATTCGATGAATATTGATTTCTAAGAAGTTCCTGCATCATTTCGTCAATTCGTAGTCGCTAAGCGGATGTTAGGTAATTTTGATCCGTTTATTTTAAAGCTTGTATAAGTAGTCACGTAGGATCGGCTTTCATCGCTTCGACACAGGCGATTTTATATCTTATAGAGAGCATTCGCGAAAAACAATTTAAATTCTACAAACGACGTGATACAGTCATAAAGTTCGATTACTGCCGTTTGGGAGGCTGGTTGTTCATTTACTTTTGTCCCTTTTTACGATCCGTACTTTTCAGTACAGGAGGAACACGACATAATGTGGAATTGAATCACGTGCTCGAGAGATCACTGAAATTGTACGATTGCGCGCGATTTCATTTTTTTTTTTGCGGCCCAATGCTAAGGCCGATCGATGCCGGCCGCGAGTACAAATTGAACGATCGTGAAAACGGGCCCTGAGAACATGGAACAACTTCTTACCCGTGGAGTATCGAATTCTCGGAATGCGGACCGGCGTATAAACGCGATTATCTAGACTCCTTACCGAGAGTTCCAGTTCCCCTTAAGCTATGCATACCGAGAGTCGTGCCGAGCAACGACAAGATTTTCAACAAGATTCACGTCCCCGCATTTTTATTGTCATACCTTTTTGCGCTCGTTGCAACTGTTGCGTTTTTAATATTACGGAGCAGCTTCTTGCGATTACGGAGCACCTCAGCAATTTAATTCTAATTTTTTAATTATTCGTTGAATCAACGTTTCGCTTTGTAAGTAATATCTTGCAAGTTCATCGAGCATAACATCTTCGTACATCGAATTCATAAAATCTCCCATTTATAATCTGTAATCTAATCTCTAACTCATGGCAAACTGCTGTGTGTTATCCGTAGCGCGCATTATTTCAATCGGAGCGCCGCGAATCTCGCGCGCGGTTATACACGCTGATGGAGAATTTAATTTCCCTGTGGCGGCCGGTCCGGCGTCATTCACATCTTCGGACAGCACAATGGCCCATTTAATAGATCGCTTTTGTTAATCGTGCTAACAGAGGCGCGCCGGGATTATCGTCCCTCGAAAACAACGCGAGTTCGGGTTACGTGACGCTTTTCAATTACACGCGTATACCTACCTCCGCGCGGGAGTACTTTCATTGTTGGACTCCGCGGCTGAACCGTGAGAATGGAGAAAACGAAAAGTGCTACGGGGTAATCTCGGGAGATCCAGTTATGCTCGCTCGACGAATTCATATTCCGCGGCGATGACCGATGCACGCGTTTGCGCGTATAATAAGCCACGATTTACAATCGCCGTGGCAACGTATGTACAACGGACAGCTGAAGGAGAGGCCTAGGACCGCGACTCGGTCTCGGTTTTCACTCGGCTAAATAATAGAGATCGCTCGATTTCACCTTCTTGTTTTCTGACGAATGTATTATGTTGAGTCTTGCCTATCTACCTGTTCACCGGCGCAATCAATTTACGATTCTCCCGTAGCGACGGGCATCTCGTGCACACACAACAGTTTTGCGCACAGCTTTCAAGCTAGGAGCTTGTCAAGCTAATTTCCTTGGCTCTCGGTGATCGCCTTTGATACAACGTTTCCTGTTCGTAATTTCGAATCTTCGTGCTTCAACCGCTCCTACTGATGGCTACGTGCGATCGCCTTAATTGAATTTTATGGACGTTGCTTTGAAGGGACGTTTTATTAGAGTTTACGAAATTAACGATGCTGTTCAAATCTACTTGTGCTATCATCAGGATAATTTGTTTCCAGATTTTTGTAAATTACACGAAGTAGAAATTACTTAACTGTTTCTAATTGCAAACAACTTTTTATCCTATATTACTTATCTTCTACGTTTTTCGCTATTATCTCCCGTTTACTCGTTCTGGTTCTCTACTTAACATCTATTTCTATTACTCATTGTTTCTTCCTGTTACACTCCGTTTTTCTCGTTTCGACAAACACCGGGGAATTTGCCACAGAATAAGGAGAGAAATCATCATTCATAAATAAATATGCAGAACACGAGAATCTCGAGTGGCAAAGAGTTAGAACTTAAATTTAAATCAGAATCGTTTGGATCACGAAGAGTTATGATTCATAGGCAAAACTCGTCTTTGACTTCAAACCAGCTTCATCGTTCCAAATTTACAAGCTCCTCTTCTAAACGATTTTCACCTATTTTAATTCTAAACACACAGGTCGTTAATAATCGCTCTTCCGAGAGTAATGGCTCCGCTTAGCATTTATTTGCGCTATCGGCTTAACGGTCATTCGGCTATTACTCGAAATAACTTTGACTAAAAAAATATCGCGTTGTTTTACGACTAACGCGTGGTACCGGTTCGAAGGCCCGGCGAGTTAAACCGTGGCACATTAATTGAACTATCTCCGCCCGGATCTCGGGATGCTGGGAAAAGTTATCACAACGATAGGACACACCTGCCTGGATTTTTCCGCGGTCAGATATTCGCGATTCTCCTGCATGCGCGCGCCCGTGCATGGCAATTATTATGGCAAGGTAGCCTGCATGAATTATGGGAGAGATCTGCATTCTCTGCCATGCCGGTGCCCTCCCCATAGACTCTATTTCATATCGAGTGTTTAAATCTCCGCCCTCCTCTCTCGAGCGCGTCCGTACTGTCTTGCCTTCTCTGCTTGCCTATCTCGCTGAGTACGCCCTCGAGAGATCAGCCTGGCATCGCGACTTGGCGCCATGACGAACCCTTTCTTACAGACTACGACTAGAATAGACATTTGCTTGTTATTAGATTTTTTATGCAAAATGAAACAGTCTTAGAGTCGATTTAGAAAATTAGATCTAGACAGGAATTTCTTTTACCCTTAGAAAGTAGTAACACACATTTCACTTCTAATATAAATGAATACGACTTCTAATTTATTCGTGACGCATACAAATCTGTGGTGGTACCGTGTATAAAAAATAATCCGAAGGGAAGTTCAAAAGCTACGAGCTTTTTAGATTCTACTTAACATTTTTTCTCAGAATCCTGAAGTTACCAGATTTTTTTCATCTCCTTTCGCCGAAATCACGCATGTGTTTGAAGAGTTGCGGGGAAATCAGCAAAGTGGCCGCAGAGGAAGTCTTTTCAAGCGTTAAGCGTAGATTTCCGTGGAATTTCGCGGACAGCGTGGGCGGCAGATGTTTGAGTTAATTCTGAGCTGTTCTGTTAAGAAAACAGCGTAACAGTGAACGGAGGGTTCGTAGGAAAATCTGTTAAACTGATTCAATTTGCGATTCATTTTCGAGCGTTTAAAAGTAATCGATCAAAAAACGGAAACACGAGATTACTTTCCCCTTATCATGATTTTCACGTGCCGGTGATTACCTATGGCCGCGGCGTTAACATATACCAATTTTCGTTATCAGGCAAATCTCGCAGCGAGACTCGCAATTGAGATATAAATGAGTTCTCGCATGTTTCCTCGGTTAACTTCTCTTCGGGGGGTTTCTCTCCTCCTCCTCCTCCTCCTTCGTTTCTACTGTACGCGCGGCCGCGGCTATGTGAAACGCAGTTGCAGCTCGTTCTCTTCGGAACAATGTTATAATCGTCGGTTATCTTTTATTCTTCGCGGAACAGGAGGTTGCGAACGGGCGTGCACAGCGTTTAGCGCCGTTCTCGGTCAACGTTCAAGAACTGCAATTAGAAGGCTTGATGGATGGAGGTAGACAAGAAAGTAGATGAAAGTTCTCCGCCGTAGACGATCTTGAATAACGGCTAAAACAGTTATCTCCGCGGGTCTAGTCTCGGGAACAATATTCGATAAATCTTGTGTAGACTTTTCTAAAAGAAACCGATGTGTTAATAGTTCGAATGTACAATGCCAGTGATTTGCAGCATTTCGTTGGATCATTATGATTCCTCTTAATCCGATCAACGAAATAATCCGGGACATTAAAAATTAAGACAGGGGCCATTACACGGAATTCTTATCTTAAAAAAAAAAAAAACTTGATTCACCTGGTCCACTTCGGGCTGTACAATGTCTCGGACGATAAATCTTGAATTTTTTCATGCTCGAACCGTATTTCAATCGCTGACACGACCGCGGATTATATATCGTAAGGATTTCAGGAAGAGATCAAAGTAGTAGCTCGGCCAGCCAAAAGCGCCAACAGTTTATGAAATCGAAATTTATGATTCAGTCTTACCGGCTTAATCGGCTCGGAATTATTCTGTCCAGTCGGAAGATATATCGCTGGAAAAACACTGCGTTCCTAAACGATTAACTACATATATCACGAAATTACTCTGCTGGAACTGATTGATCTATCGGATTAGAGAAACTTCGCATGTCACCGTAGGCTTCTATGTCGCGTGTCCCGTGACCCGGTTTCAACCCCCTTGTTTGGACCGAGCCAACCACCGTGAAGCTTGTTCTCGCACCCTTTTCGTCCGCTTCTACGGTCGCTGGAAATCGATCACTATTACCAGTGGACCGATTTCATCGTAAACGATGACGTCGCTCGTGAGCAAACAGGCTGGATCGATCGCGGGTAATAATTAATTTCTCGGGAAAACGGGTGATCGGCGCTGGACGTAACCAGGAAGCGAATAATCTCGCGCGCAACAACTCTTGGAAGGGATAATTGCTTAATCGACCCCAAGCTGAGTATGGGTGACGTAGCTGCGACAAGCCAATGCCCCGTGTATAGGCGGCCGATGAAAAACTGGAATGATAGCAACAGCGATTGCGCACGAGCACGAACGGGACAATTATTTTATGCACCGTGTAAAACCGTGACCCTGCGCAACTCGTGATTATCCGTAAATCAGACGAGATGTTACCTCGATGCATATAGAACGACATTTTTACATTTTCAAATTGTCTATTATCGTAATTTGATTGAAAATAATTTACTCTTATTTAGCATTCAAAGAATTTGTAGATTCTTGGATAGATTATCTAGATAATGATCCGAACAAGGAAAACATGACTTTAAGTCAGTTTCGCAGCGTTAATAAAATAATCAACGATCGGACTAGATGTAATTTCTCGCAAACATAGAACACAATTCATTCGCAATAACTAATCAAATAGAAAGCAGTTTTCTCCGTTGCCGTTGAAATCCCGAGTGGATTTTTCGTATCGATCCTAGGAGATCGAGCTTTATCTCGAATCACGATTGATTACCGTTTCTGAGTAGAACAATCTGCATGGGTAGAAAGTAATGGTCAATTCGAGGATACGAATTAAATTCGATTCCTCCTGAAAGCGTAGGAACGAGGTCGACGATCCTTATTGGCAGTGAATAGGGAACGACACGAGATTGTTTCCCGCGGAATGATCACGGAGCCCGTGTATGTAAGTGGCTGACGTTCGCAGGCCTCGCAGGAATAATCGATATTTTTCGTGTCGTATCACGGTACCGCGCGCGTGATCGTTTCGATTTTTCGATTAACAATGCAAATCTCATTGCGTGGAATAATTCCGGGACGATGATTTAGAAAGCGGAGCCGTAGCTACGGCAAGTGTATTGTGTCGTTCCGTGGATGGGAACGTTTTGTCCGTGGCCCAAACGGGAGAGATTAGATCGTGCATCGCCAGAGATCGATAGATCACTCGCGTTCGATCGATGGATCACGTACCACCGTTATGCGGATGAATTTCGAACCAACGGCTCGGGCTACTTATTGCACACGGGTCCCCTTTGTCCTTTTCGATCGATCGTTGGGAAAATCACGCGACATTCTTTATAATCTGTGTGAGAATGAGATACGACGCTCGATTGTAATAAAGTATATAAAGTGCAGGTTGTTCACATGCTCGTAGGCGATACCGAATTCTCTTCAGACTGTACCGATTCGCATTTTGATAAGAACTTTTCGAGCATCTTGCGAGCAACGTCATTTCAAGCGTTCCCACATCTCTCCCGCGGCACAACGCATTCATAAAACACAATGAAACGTCCATAAAGACATAAAGAAAGGTCTTGGATAAACCGCCGCCTGATAAGCTCTGAGTCCGCTCTCCGGAGAAACTGATAATGCCCGCGACGCGTCTCGTGTCTCAGTAATTTGCCGCACGTTTCACGGTACGCGATAGGCAAACTTGAAAATTAAATTTCTATTAAAGCCGCGCGTTTTTTCCGCGCGTCATCACCCACACGCGCGGAGAAATGATTAGCAGCTTTCACCATACGAGGGCGTTTCGTCGGAAAAGTGATACTTCGGCGCGAACGAAAGTGCACGCGCCACGGTGTATTTCCAATTCGTTTCACGCGTGATGTGCGGGAGAAAATCCGGTATCGCATGCGACTACCGACGCCGGTGGGATCGCCGGATGTAAATTATCGATAGATAAAGGAATCTTTAATAGTATCCTCACGACTGATTGGATTTTTGCTCCGCGGTTCGTTTTCAAAGGAGAAATGTCAGGCGAGATTCTTTTCACGGTTTCCTGAGGATGTTTGATTAGCTATGAGAATATGTTGCTAGGAAACCTACGGGAAAAGAGGTCGGGAGACTTTTATGGGGCGTAAAATATAATAAAGCTGATTTATAGAGTGTTTAATGAGCGCTGGATTATATATTGCTGGCTAGGTTCATTTATTACTAGAGTAGTTGCATGTAATTATACAGAATAATGAGCAACGTTAATTGTACTGATCTCAGATCCTTGGAAAAATTCGATTTGAAGAATAGATATAATTTTGTAGAATTTTCCTCGGAGGATCATCACCGAAGATCATTTCTTCTAACAAGCCCGCTTGCCTCGTTCGATGAACAATTTGATAAAATGTCGCTTCTTCCTTGTGCTATCCGCATTCTGTATTTTCTTTTTAACACCATCCGCGCGAAGCTGCGCTGGTCTCGCGACGATAACGCGCTCGCGACTGCATCGCATGCGTGCCGCTTGGCGGTGAAAAAGCTGTCCGATCGATCGATATACTAGGTACAGGTGGTGTTCAAGCAAGCGGAGCAATCGAAAGAATCTCGAGACCCGCGCGTATCATTTAAGTTTAAAAAGGAACAGCTTACTGAAATTCTTTCGCCAGCATTCCGTAAAGATCGTACGAACAGGGATCGCAATAAATTTTCCATCGTGCCGGTTGATCAAATCGCTTCCCCACCGGCATTGTCCGGCAATAAAGTTTTCTCGAGCGTAACGGCTGCTAATATAACGAGCATCCTTATTTGCTCGTACCTACTCGCGCTCGAAGCCACGAACATAGCACCTTACGAGGTGCTTATGAGTTTATTTATCGTTTATTTATTGCGTCTCGTTTGCTACAACAATCGCGTTTCTCGCCATTTTTCTGGATCATCTCCGTTTTTCGGCATATCTGCTCTCTCGTTTTCTAATTAATTGAAGTATTAAAAATCGGGTCAATTGATTTCGCTATCGTTCGATGAACGTCGTATATAGGATTTGGAAATCGAATTTTTGTCAGTGATTTTAAGGACTCATTCTGCATGTATGGCGTAAACACGGCGAAAGCGACGCATCATTGTCAGCGTGCGGCGTAATGATAGAGCGGCCCGACGCCTGGCGTCAGCGCATCAAATCGTAACTGTCGTTAGTAACTGGTCCGGGACTTTCGCACATTAGCCGCGTTTTCTATTCACGGGAAAATCTTCATATTCACGGTCCCCGCATGAGAAAACGGCTCCGCGCAGTTTAACGAACGAACGATCATCTTTTTTCACGTTAAATCGAGTTTCTTATCACCCGTAATTAATCATCGGCTCCGACTTCATTTGTCCGTTTATCTTGTCGCTACTGTAATCTGCAATGACCACAGAAAGTATTGATTCTGTATCTCACTTGGAAAATTCTGTATTTTCGTAGAAAATTACTATCGCGTGATAAATCTATAGATTTTACGTATAATACATACGTATATGTATAGTTTCCGTGATCATGTACGTACCGAGTGTTTAACGATTGAATTTGAGACACGGGAGCTTCTCACCTGCCGTTTCGTGGCTGTTCCTAATTAATCGTGATTTTCAATTTCCTCTATTTGTCCAACCGGTCCGCTAGAAAGCTCTCTCTCGCGACCGAGGACGGGGAACAAATGGCGAACGTAAATCACCATGGGGGCCTGGTGAACGGGGCCTCCGGAGGCAAGAAGAAAGAGGGACGATTTCAAGAATTAACAGGGATTTAGCCCGGCAGCCGTTTCTCGGTCTCGCCGGCATTAATATCGGAGCCGGTGCCACGCGAGATCGATCTCTCTTTCTCGTCGGTGTTCAGTTTCAGTTATCATTTCTTAGATCGCAACCGGCCAAGGACGTTAGGCTAGATCCAAAACGATTACTCGTTCGCTAACCACCGGTAAGATCTCTCTCGATCCTCGAAGACGACTGACGGATCGGTTTCATTATCCGCGGCGAGCGAGCTCGTACGTCTTCCCTTGGTCGAGCCCCCTTTCGCTAGCCCTGTAAGACCAAGCGTGGCGATAGCGATTCAGGAATGCCCGACTATCATTCATCAACCCGAGTCAGAGCGTAATCTCGTTTCTGCTCTCTCTGTTACAGATTTCCTGTACCGGCACTGCGTTACCATCGATAACGTTAATACCGAGGTCGAGATACTGGACACTTCCAGGTGCGAGGTAAGTTCTTACCGACTTTTAAACAAGCTCGTCTCCGTCGGAGACGATATCTTCGCTATTCTTACAAAGAAATTAAGTATTACTGCGTTCCGATCAATCCTTAAGTGAATTAAAATAAATTCCGATGTTTCTCTCTTTTACGGTCAGCTGATTATTTAAGTAATCAACGATGATTCTCCAACAAAATACTTCACTTAAAACGCTATCCGCTTAATTTCGTTCTACGAGTTACTACCTATCTTTCTCTGTAACTCCAACGACTCAATCCTACTTGCATTTTCACTGAGCACCGCAAAAAGCAGAAAATTAAACGCGCAATCTCCGTTGCGAGCCTCTTCATAACGCGAATGGTAAAAACTCATACTTGAATATCATCGACTTGGACGTAGCTGCGCTGACGCTTAACGAACGGTTCTCCTCCGTGGCACCGATCGCAAATTATCATCGGGCATTTTTCTCGTCCCGATGGAAAAGAGCTGGCGCGGCGCCTAATGATCCCGCGATATTATTGATGGATACACGACATAGATTGGCGTTAAAATCTCACTTGACCGCGCGAGCGCGGTGAAAATGTACATTTACGGCCACGCGTTTATTTGACAGACTGATTTGCCCGCGTGAATTATGCTCGGTCTCGTAGCCGGCTGTAAATTATCCACGGTTACAACGGGATCGTCGGCCTCTGATTTCTGTTTTACTTCGCGGCGTTTCTCGTTTCGTGGGTCTCGTAAATTCTCTGACGCTATAATTATAAGATACTTTTTTCAATAATCATTTAGGTTTTATAACATTTAAAGATGGAAAGTAAAAGCCCATTAATTGTGCAGGTTTTCAATCATCTTTTTACAACGATATTTATGAAGTAGTATTTTACTTCGGTCGGACGTCGGTTATATAAATACTTGAAATTTCACCTTTTCTTTGTCTGTTTTATTGCTAGGGAAAAGTTGACACTAACTAACACTGTACTTAAAGGGTCTTTTATTGTTCCATGAAATTTTCTTCTATTTGTAACCGTTTTGAAGTTAAAACCTGTTTCACTTACGCGCGACACAGTGTATAACTTGTTTGTACTGGCCCCCCGAGGGACTCGGAACAGACCCTTAAGGGCCACGTCTGTCATACGTCCAATGTATGAGGCAAATAACAAGCCGTCAGGTATTCACATTCCACGTCTTCCTGCGTCGATTCTGAAGCGTAGCGACTGTTGCTTCGTGAAAATTTCGCTTCGTTCCATGGTTGAAGAATGATAATTTGCGACAATTCAGTTTAGTTTTGTATAAATAAACGTGGTAGTCATCGTCCGGTTTGAGAAAAATGTGCAAGCAATTCATAAGTCAAGTCTTTGGATAGATTTCGTCAAATTGAACTTTTCACCCCTAAGGAGTAAGGTCGTTCATCCCAGGGCCCGAATTTAATCGTGGCCTCGAAGAGCAGCGACGTAAGAACGTATCAGCTTCGTCGCTGGTCGTCGAAGTCGCTTAGAGTAGTAGTCATCGATACCAACGATTGGATCATCCAGTCGAGCACAAGCCGAGCAACAAGTAACCGCATTCTGCTCTTTGCTCCGGCCGCGAGAGGGTCTGTTTCGTCTTGGTTAGAAACATCGGGCGGGATAAACGCGTTCCACCCTTGCGTGGCTTGCGTTTCCTTTTGCATCTCTTCGCGGCGCGCCGCGGCATCGGCGCCTTTTATATTTATCTTTCGTCGACGCCTGTAAACACGACTATTTCAGCCCGATCCGCTCGCGGGCCAAGCGTGGAGAACATGCTTTTTCTTCGTTCTCCGCCAACTCTTCATCTTTCTTCGTCCTTCCATCGGCCGGCCGTCACCGTTACCTCTCGACTCGCCGCGTTCATTGTGAAAGTCACGATGAATCATTTGCTTGCCGGACAAACTCAGTCGCGACGCGTTTCGCAATAGGCTGCTTTTCATTTAGCCGAACTTATTGCTCGCGGGGATCGTTCTGAAACTCGCCGGGGGAAACAGAGCACCTCTGTTCCCGATGAAGTCGTCGACGATCGTATCGCGCTCGCCTACGGTCGGGGGAAAGTTTCGTCACTGATTGGTAGGGCTTATCGATTGATTGCCGAACCTCTCAAACGATTAGAGACTAACTATTAATAAAAAGTATTCTTTAATGCTTCTTTAAAGTTGCGAATTAATGTATTTCATTGATATTTAGTCTCATGATGGTATCGGAATTTGCATAATATCTGCATAAGATCCGAATTGTTATCTCTGGTCAGATGAGCTTTCTTATGAAACGAGATGGTAATATTAGACCAGTCCAGCCATCGAGTAACAATCGGCCCTACGTGACGAGACCTTCTAATGGCGGGATGATTTATGCATAGTTCTTAAAAGTCGCCTCGATTCGCCACCAGTGGCAATAATTTACGATGCCGAGAACAATGGCTCCTCTCCCGGCACTTGGTAATAGAAAAAGACCGCCGCGGAATCTCAATGAGATTCCGCTCTACCTGCGACAGGTGAACACACCGGTCCGTGAGCGTGGCCAGGCCGTTCGGTTCCCTACGGTAACCTCGTGTAGTGTGCGTCTCTACGTGCGCACACACGCGCTCGAGAGTCGCAGTCGCCTAGATTCGAATTTAAAGGCGATCGTTATTCAATTCAAATACGCGGATAACGGACCGTGTCGTAGGATTTCCGCTTCGACGTATTCGCCTGCGCGGGTTCGTTACCGTATTCTAGAAGAATCGGGTTAAGGAAGGTCAGGTCGGGACGACCGACCTGAAACCTGGCCGATTCCGTGGGGATTTGGGTTAAGTAAGGTCAGGCTGGCTCGAATACGTCGCCGAGGATCGTCGCATTCGTCGAGCCGATGACTCTTCGGCTCCGAGTATGTACTTAGTTTGTTTTTTCTTACGGCACTCGGACTTTTCGGTTCTGTTAGATATTTAAATTAAAATCGTCACTGAAGAAGTCAATACTCCTTCAACTTACTGAAAATAAAAGAATAAAAGATTTCCTTCGCTTCGTTCGTAAACAATCTTAAAGTTATTGTTTGCATTTTTACCATCAATTCACAAGTACAGAAACTTATACTTTTTTTTAAACCGCGAATGACTCAATTAAAGTTCCTCCTGTTGCACTTCGTTTTACAAGACTCGCAATCGGACATCGACTGTTCTACCTTTCCATTCCGTAAGATCAACAAAAAACTAAGGAAGACGGATAAAAGGAAAAGAAGGTACGAGAGGGGAAAAAAAAGCAAATCAGCGTCCGGGTGCGCGCGTATATATTTTCTGGCCTGCAAAAGGAATCCAACATATTCCTTATACGCGCGTTGTAGGTACGCACGGTACACTGACTCGTCCGGGCTTATTCGGTAGCCCCGCAACAAGACACGATCGAGAGGCCAGGTTGTTTTTAGCAAACTGGTTTTTCTACCCGGGGCTTACAATTACTGGCTTCCTTTTTTGCGCTCCCCCCAAATGTTTGCACCTGTCGCTTAAAAGGCTGCGAACCGTGGACCAAGATGGCATCCCTGACCGTTCGGAGATTAGTCCTTGGATTCGGCTGCCGAGAATATTTGGAGCACCGTCTAGCTCAAGCAGGTGCGTCCATCCTTGGCGATTCATTCACAGAATTTCAATCATTCATTCGGAGAATCCCGTGTCTTCCTGAAAATTTACAAACATCGTTAGAGATCCGAAAAGCTTGTGAATTTCAAACAATGAAGTATTGATTGCAATCTTCTTATCATATCTCGTTCGTCTAATCGAACTGTGGCTGCTTCTAAGTTTGTTCAGTTGTCTAATTCTTCTATGTAAAAATTAAGGGATTGTCAAGAACTCGTTTACGTTATCTTTTCCAAACTGGCGACACCGGTGCGCTCTTTTGTGTTTCGTAATGCGATTCTATTTGCGTCGCGGCGCGTTTCGCGCATCGGTGGAACGCCGCGTCGCGTCTCGAATCGGTGCAGCAGCAGCGTGCAACTGATGCAACGAATCGGTGTAAACAATGGCAGAGCATTGGACGGGGAAGAACGCGCGTACCCGCGAGAGTACGCGTGCACCGTTACCGCACAGATTCGATAAATAATAAAATACAGGAAGTAGTGCCACCGATTTGTATGTACGCGCTCGCCAGAGCCAGCTCTTCTGGCCGCCGATCGATCGTTTCGCTATCGGGGGCCCGATCTGACGATCATTATCGATCGGGATTTGTTCCCGACGACACATTTCACGATTCTTACGAAAATCTGATCACTTTCTACGATACGCGGCTCAGGAACAAATCATCGTGTTGTAAGCATTCTCGGCACTCGATCGGTGCGATTTTGCTCGTTCATGCAAATCACGTTTTATTGACGAGTGTTACAAATTATTTCCACGTGCGCGGCTGTCATTCTTCATTATGAGCAAAATATGTATGCACATATGTATGATGGGCGAGACTATAAAACCATGTAGGTAGAACTATAAACAAGGTGCTCTTGAATATAAAGCAGAATATATCTTCTTATCGTATCGCAGCCTATTGAAAATATACTTAATCAAAAAGTTCTCCGCGGGTCATTAGCTACACAGGTTCGAAGCCCGGTAACAGGGCCCGGCATAAACGCAGTACATTATCGCGCCAATAAATTCTGCTTCAGCCTCTTACGAAATTTCGTGTGTACGCCAAACTCTATGTAACGTTAACGAAGAAAATTTATTTGACGCGCGAGCAACGTGGAAAAGAACCACCTGACAAAATCCCCTCGGCTTGATCCCGGGTTAATGAGCACCCGGCACAAAAGGAAAATACGAGGCACGAACAAGATTAGGCCCGGTCTGCGTACAATGGGATTTTCTAACCGGCGCGATATATCGGCGCGAACGGGTTAAAAGTACACTGGTATCCGCTGTCGTATAGCGGATTTAACGATCTCTACCGTGTACTTACCGTCGCGAGCCGATCGCGCACCACTGCCACACTGATCCACATCGATATCGATCTCCGTAGATCCTGTTCTTACGCATACGTTGGCCATTCGTGCGCGAGCATTCAATGCTCCGGCACGTTTCGGCTTTAGATACTGGATTAAGATACATATGGGTCATTGGCGTAAGGATTGAACACTCTTTGTGCAAATTGAAAAATTTATTACGTACTTTGGTATATCATGAAATTCAAAAGGTTGATATGTTCTACATGGGAATTTATTTGAAATAGAAGTTTAACAAGTGGACGTTTAATTTAGTAACTTGACCTAAAATATATGACATTCGCGGTTTCACGTATTCATGCGCGCTCACACGAATATCGCATCTATCTTTAGGTCTCCCAGTGCCGATCCTAAACATTCTTAGACAATACAAGAGAAGCAACGGTTTGGCATCGCGGTTCTTAACAGAAATGTCAGGATGTAGTCAGCTTAGCCAATTATCTTCGTATTAAACAACGGCTCGTGACAACAAATTAAGCCGCGTCGGGTATTCTCTTCTTCCAACGGAATCTCGAAATAGAAGTAAAAATTCACGATTGCGTCACGCTTGGTGTAACGTTTCGACAGACTTGCACGTTGCTTTTTAACTGCGTCCCGTATGGAAGATAGTAACTTGCAAGGGTGTATAAAGCTCGATTCACACTTCACGCTGGTCAAATCATCGCTTTAGTGAAAAAGGAATAATATTCAGCATGAATAAATATAAATAAACATGAGTTGTCTAAAATTGAATATCTTTGATAATATCCCTTGTTTTTGATAATATCAAAAAATATTTCAGATATTGAGTGATTTAAAAAGACTTCGTCATGCTATGTGAAACCTTTATGGTATCAATTTAAAAAAACGTGTTTTAAATGTCTTTTATTATTTAATTAAAATATGCAATCATCTTCTGATGAGATCTTTGATCGAGTGTGAATCCTGCTTAAAGGGTACCAGTGGCCTGTGCGCTAAAGTGCATCGTTGCACGCCGCGGTATAATCTTTCCAATTATCCGGCTGCAACGCAACGCGTCCATTCATTTCTGGTCGCAGATACAGCCGTGGATACGCGGGTTCCCTAGTATCTAGCCGTGTAAAATTCAACGGGGGAAACCAGAGTTTGCGAGAGAACTTTATGGTGGAAGTTAGCGAGACGTGAGCGGTTAAAGCGCGTATAACCTGTCCACCGAATGCGCTCTAATCTCCCGAATTGTCCATTCTCGAGTTGCGGGAAGTCGGCTCGCGAGTATCGATCCGACAATCCAGATAATGTTAGGGCTTGTCAGCTCGATACCGTGCAGTCAGGGTCAGGATAAGACGACGCAGGGCCCATTGAGTCCGCTGGGTCAATGGCCTTCATGCGTTTCAAGATTAAAGGCCACATGGGGTGGTTGAATGTTGCGTAACTCCCGTGGGGCAGTTAAGATACGCATTGGTGCGGCTAGATCGCGGGTGGAACTAATGCATTCGTTCAGACTGCGAACACTAAATGTTGTAATGGTAAGGAATTGTGGTTTGGAACCGAATAAGGCTCGCCGAACGATTTAATTAAACGAGTATTATAGGATAGAAATGGTCTATAAAATATCGATTAGATGTTTGAGCAATTTGGTAAATGAAATTAATCTTTATATACATTCATCTATCAAGTTATTTCGCATGTTAATGACGTATGCAGTTTTTATGTAAAGTTCATTTTCGATTCACCTGATTGCGTACACACCTTCGCGGTCCACTGCCGGCCATTTTGAAACCACTATCCTGTTCTGCCCCCGGGAGTTGATCGGAGCTCAACCGCGAGGAGGACATCGCGGTTTCTCCTTCGTGACTTCTGCATCCGACTGCAATAACAAAATATGGAGTGTTTTAACATAGCACTGTCCTCTTGGCTCGGGTTCAGTATAAATAAGCAGGTCCAGGTTTAAAATACTTCTTCGAGAACATAGAATCTTTTTCGATGTTCGTTTATTCACATCGACAGTTTATGTGAACAATTAAGTTCGATCTTAAAAACGATTTAAGGCGAGAGATGCATCGGTCGGTAAACGTGTCTCGCCACCTTCCTCTCATTCCTGGCGATGCTCGATCGCGCAAAAAGCAGAGCCCGGAAACGCGCTCGTGGAAAGCTGTCGCCTCGCTCCTCGGCACGCGTGCTTCGAATCCGGTGAACGAAAGGTGTACGAGGACGTCGTCGGCGCGGCGTGTATCTTTTTGTACCGTTCGCAGGAGCGCGCGTGCACCGGCGAACGGCTCTGAGCGCGGAACACACCGCGCGATCGTGATGTCAATCACCGATGAAGACAGTTACCGCGCCGACTGTCACCGCGGCGATCTCCACGGTGACAGCAGCACGCGCCTTAAGGCGCATCCACAAGACACGAGCGGAGAGGACCCAGCGCGATCGCGAGAAGCAATAAATTCTCTGCCCGGATGCTTCTCGTATGTTTCTTGTAAGTGCGGCTAACTGATGTAAATGCCTGCTTCGTCCGTGCTGGAACTTAATTAATCTTCTTCTGTGCTTCCTTCGCCTCTCCACCGTCACTTCCTGTCTCATCTCCGTTAGCGAACGATCGAACGATCATTAATCATTCGATTGTTCCGTGAATAATTGTGGACACGATAGCGACGCCGAGTCGCGCTGGTCCTTCTTCGGCGTCGACCAGGCGTTTAACCTCGATTAGGCTCTTCGTTCGAACCGAGAGATTCATCCACGGATTAACATTGAATTTCAAATCTCTGATGACAAATGAAGCTTTAAGGTGTGATCGTCTAGAACCACTGGCGGAAGACTTTAATGAGGCATCGATATCGTGAAATCAATAAATCGTATCGATATAATTGACGCTCCAAAATCTTAGGCCCGTTTTAATCCCTCCTTCCCCCTCGCGATCCATTGTATTTTAATCGTCGCCGATTTCGTAAGCGCATTCCCCGCGCTCCGGTATCATAATGCGATCACGTAGCCCGGGCGACAGGCCATCTACTTGATAAGCCGTACGTGCCACCATTAGGCGCACAAGATAATTTTATTTATCAGCCACTCCAGCTTCCTCCCCCGGCGCCCCTTTTTCCATCGTCGACGGTATTTGGCGGGCGTTTGGCCGTGCGCCGGTACGCCGAGATAAATGATGTGAACGCACTCTTAGCGCTCATTTGCATCCCAACACAGAGAGGGATAGCCTCTCTTCCACCGTCAAACCCACCGGCAACAACTATGCGGCCTGTCGCCGCGGCTCGGAATGATTTATCCCGGCTTTAATCCGCGACGACGTTGAAATCTCGATGCCGATGCTCACCGCGCGATACACGATGACAGCTGGCCCCTGCTAATGATATTTATGAAAGTCAACTCAATTTTCAAGTAACGTCTGATGTAACGCGGAAGCGAAAGTCCTCTCCTCGCATGCTTGTCGTTAGTCGGTTTTCTCTACCCCGGCACCCGAAAGAAATCGTTATTTCTACCATAGGTAATGGCAGTACCTACGTTTCGTCCGTGTGCGCGAACCGTTCACGGTTTTGTAATGCACATATACCGTAGAAAGCAGAACATCGAGCCGGCGAACAACACCGCGCGAGAGTGTTCCGTCTCGAATCTTTTCTCCTTTATGAACGTGCCCCATGTTCCGTGCTACGCCCAGCTTCCAAGAGGCCTTCCCCTGGCCACGGTTGTTCGTTCGCTCGCGGTCCCCTGGTGCACGATCGATCACGAGGATCGCGGTAGGTGTTCCACCGGGTATAATAATAACCGGCTAACAAGGGCACCAGAGTTCAGGTAGGCACTCTAACAGAGAGCGCACGTAGGAAGTCGAGCAACAAATGGCTAGGTGGCTGCTGCCTGGGTCCCGACCTCGTCTCGCCACGATTAATATTTCCATCGTGCATTGTTCCTCGTCACGTAAATCTACTCGCCGAGATAAGCGCTTTGGAAACCGTTTATAAGGTCGATTTGTATCGTACACGCGGCCGTTCCTACCTCGACCCGGTCCCAGGAGAAACAGATTCGCGAGGAATCTCATCTTCTTCCCACGTGATTATCTCCTCGAAAGATCTTGATTGGATCGCTCATTTTTTTCCTAACTCCGGTTAGGGATATTAAATCGAAGAACGTTCGCAGCTGGAATTTCAGTATTACAGAATTCTTTTAAATCGTGCAATTCTTTGTTCGCTCATATTAAAATTCAGTTGCCGCGGCAACGTAACATATAAAATACTTTCGTTCAGCAATCATAGCTTACGCTCGCTCACGCGAGTACACGTAGTATCCGGAAGACGTAGATCAATCATTGACTGACGACGTGTTCCTTGTCGTCGCGAGCTGAAAAATTCGATCTGGTGTCTCGTGTAGAAACCGTTGACCATCGTGCTCCGTCCGAGCCTGGTTCCCGCGGATGCATCACGCTGAGCTTGACCAGGTGCGTGTTCCTTCGACGATGAACGACGGGAGTGCGTCTTCTCATGGCACACTTCCCCAATTCTCTCATTGTTCTGGCGCGCACGCCCGAAATAAACGTTCGCTCTTCGGAAGGGAGGCAAAGAAAGAGCGCGGGTTGCCCTCCGGCTGCGGCGAAATCGTCCAGTCGCGTGGGAGGCCTGTGGATAATTGATAATTAACCGCGACTGGTCTACCGACCAGTGCCGAATTTAACGACGCTGTTTCTGCGCTGCGTTAATCATCCGATAAATCATGGTAACGGATTTGCTTGGCCCGCATCCCCGTATCTGTCGAGGGACGGTTACCTGATTTGCGACACGGAATGTGCTTACCTTGTTCGAATGAAAGTAGAGAATGTTTCTCGAGAACAATGGTAGAAAATAAATATTATAAGTATGTCATTAATTCCTTTTATATAATTCACGTTAAATAGATCTTCCACATCAGCTGCTATTTTAAACTCTTAAAAACTGGATTCTTCGAAATAATGTTCTGTAATTATCCCAGTTTATTCTCGTCCTCTCCCAAAGATCTCTCGCAGATGGCTTTTAGTTGGCGAATCGATTCTGATAGCCCATCGACGATCAGTGAAAGGCAACGGAAAGAGTGGCCTCGTCGTCTGTAAGCTCCATAATGTGACAGGCCGGATGTAAAAATGGCAACGGATTTATTTTTGGTCTCGAGAACATCGAACGATAATCTTCTCGAAAAATCATTAGAGACATGATCGGCTCGAAAATTCTTGTCAATTATTCCCTGATTTTACACGCGATTTTTTCTCACACGACGGAAACGTTGTATTCGGCAAATGGCTCGCATTCACAACAAAACGAAATTGGTAATTCCGAGTGGAAGATAGAGCTTAAACAAAGAATTTAAGTGACGCACGGTTCGAGGATATCTGCTGAGTTTCATTCACTGCATTTCCGCTTTTGGTTTTCATCTGCATAAGCAAACCACCACGGGGTTCAAAGGGAACACACGTATCGGTTTAAAATCGGTCGCGGCGTTGTCTCTCCAAAAATAGCAGTGGCTACACCCACGAACAAAAGGGGGGAACGTCGGTCGGACCATTTTTCATCGGCGCAACGTGGCTCGTACCGCTAAAGGACTCTCGAGCCAGCATTAATTATTTCCCTCGGTTCGATACCTGTAACGGCCTCGTGACCGGTTAGTAATTAAGGTCAGGCGAAACGAGAAAATCCCAGCGTAGGATTTTATGCAACCGCTCGTTGTTCACCCCTTCTGCAACCCTTTTAGGGGTATACCGGCCGTTCAGCGGCATTGTCCGACTTAATGAACGAGGATAATAAGATAAATGAAGCAGTTTCGTTTTCAAGAACAAGGTTGCCACGGCGAAGCATCGGACTCGTTTTAGAACGATGCTAAATTATGTTTAGGTGAGAGTTATTTATTATGGAATGCACTTAGCTAATTAACTTCATTCATCATTTTTCGACTACGAATATTCCCGAAGTATGCGACTCTTCTAATTTTCTTCCTCGTCGTTTTATTTTATCGAACACACAACGCGCGCGCTCGACTGCCTATTTAACCAGGTTGAATACAGATTGCCTGCGCGCGATATACATATATTTACTGTTATTCTTTATATAGACGTCCACCTAGTCGTATCAGCTCGAAGATAGAGTATCAATTCTCGCGTGGGTGGTTGCCGCGAGTTTAAGACAGTTTTGGTTCGCGTACACTACCTGACGAAGCCAATTGAAAGCGGCGAGTAACGCGATATACAAGAGAAAGGTGGAATATCTAGTTCTATTCAGTCTGACGTCACGAATCGACGAAACTGGTCAATGGCCCTTCGCGACGAATCGAATCTCTTAGAAAGTAATTTGATTTTTCCTGGCCGTAGATTCTTGTGCTCGACTTCTCCCGATACTCGGTTTCAATCGCAAATTATTTTCAAGATCACTACGTCTTCTGATATGCATATATGCATTACTTCACTCTGTATCCAATAATTCCATATCATCCAACTGACAAGCGGGACTTGTATTTTGCTCAGGTTTAAAGTCTTATCAAACGAGGCAAGTAATTCAAGATTCGCTTCAAATTTCACCTCATGTTCCTCATTCCTGCTCGAAATAACTATTTGCTTTTACCGCTTTTAAAATTCTTTGACCCATCAAGATAATAATATCTTAAACATATGCAGATTAGAAGATTTTCTCATTTATATCAGAATTCTTATAATAATAAAATCCTCTGTCGCGTATTGTAATTGTAATTAAGACAACGGAGAGCATCGGGGGCTAAGAATCGAACGACGGATTGGGCGGGGATGACTCTCGGAAATTCGATTTTAGTGTCAGGAGGAGAGGCCACGGATCAAGCCGTAAACGTCACCGATTTTATGAAGAGTCATTCAACTTTTTCCTCTCGTGGCAGTAAACCGTGTTTCCTCCGTGTGTGGTATTAACTGCTGCCGATACTTGTCGTAAATCTCGTCGTGTAGTATTTGACGTGGAACGGAATAATTAATCGAAAATTAGTAATTCTCCCGTAGGTCCAGCGATTTAGGAGTATTTAAAGAAAAACGAAATCTTTTGCCAAAAGTTTGCTATTTCGGCGGTGGGAAGACCGGTTTTTGTCA